CACTCCAGCTCTCCAAGTAGGGAGGCTGGGTGGACAGGTTACATTAATAATATTAGTAATTTGTGAGTGTGTGCCTGTAGTGAATGTGTGTGTGTGTGTGTCTGTCAGTTAATGTGTGTGTGTGTGTGTGTGTCTGTCTGTCTGTCAGTGAAGGTGTGTGTCTGTGAGTGTCTGTCAAATCAGTGAGAGTCTGTGTTTGTGATTGAGTGTTTGTGTGTTTGTCAGTGTGTCTGTCAGTAAATGTGTGTGTCAGTGAGTGTGTCTGTCAGTGAATGTGTGTATGTGAAATCAGTTAGAGTGTGTGTCTGTCAGGGACATCTGTGTGTTTGTCATTGAATGTTTGTGTGACTGTCAGTGTATGTGTCTGTCAGTAAGTGTGTATGTGTCAGTGAGTGCATGTGACTCTGAGAGTGTGTTTGTATCAGTGTGTGTCTGTCAGTGAATGTGTGTGTTAGTTAAACAGTGTGTGAGACAATGACTATCTGTCAGTAAGTGTATGCCAGTGTATGTGTATCAGTGAGGGCATGTTGTCTGTCAGTCTGCCCATCCACACTGTCACCTTCCTACACACTGCCCCCACACTGTCACATTCCTATTCACTGCCCCCCCTATAGTGTCACCATCCTACACACTACCCCCCACACTGTTACCTTCCTACACACTGTCCCGACATTATAACCTTCCTACACTCTTCCCTGCTATATTGTCATCTTCCTACACACTACCCCCCTAAAGTGTCTCCTTCCTACACACTGTACCCCCCTTCCAGCCCACAGGTAAGAGACAGGGAGGAGAAAAGCCCAATTAAATTTAAACGGCTCACCCCCCAGGACTTAACCAACAATAAATGCACTACACAGACACTACTACATACACTACACAGACACACTGCATCCACTAGGACACACTGCATCCACCACACAAACACTAGATACACTACACACACTGCATTCACTACACAAACACAGACACTGCATCCACTACACAAACACAGACACTGCATCCACTATACACACACACACACAATACACACACTGCAAACAATACACACTACATCCACGACATGGGAGAAGGGGGAAGAAAAGACTTTAAAGGGAGTGGAGCAGAGACATGCATGGAAGGGGGGGGGCGGGGCAGGGTAGGGAGCAGAAAAGACATGGATTCTTCAATCCATGGGGTAGATGCGAGCTGAACAGACAGTTTGGCTACATCTAAGGTGTGAAACATTGCTTACCTGGCTGATACTGCACTTTGCAGAGGGATTAAGGGAGTATATATACATACATACACATACATACACACATACATACACGTTTTATAACTGCTCCCCTACTTTTGTCCCTGGCCCACCATTTGCCCCACCTAAATATGAATCCTAAAGAAGCCACTGCCTCCACATGTGATGGCATCACTGCCTCCACCTCAGCCTTACTGAGTTGCTGGTTCCTACCATATGGACTACATGCATCCTCATAAACCTGCTCCCTACCCACCATCACTCATGCCACCACTAGCACATCAATTGCAAGTGTCCAACCTGAAAAGAGAAATTCTGCAGGGAGCTGAGAGCAGTGCATCAGACCAACTGCCCACATGGAAGTGGCAACTGGCTCAGCAAGACCTACTTAATGACATCATGGCCTCAATTGCTAACTGCCTATCACCTCCTGCTGCCTCCTCCATAGGGTAATTGGCACCCTGAGAGCTGAAGTGCTTTATTTTTAATTTTATTTTTCATAGCTTCTATTATTTTGTTAAGTATTATTATTATTTTTACATAGTTTTATTATATGTTCTAGCTTTATTCAATGTAAATGTGTATACATACCGTCCATTTGTACAGGTCATTAATGCTGATATGCGTCACTCTAGCTCCATTATGACATGTATTGTGTCAGACATATGTGCCATTAGTTTTCTAAAATAAGTGGGATTCTTTGAACTAACAATTGCAGTGCACACTGTTTACTAATGAAGTCTAGTTGCTGTAATTCGTGAGTGACTAGCTCTCCTTGTATATACCTTTTTTTGAATTTAAATGTATTAACATATAGCTAAAGTGTATTTTTTCCTATAGCTGGGGTAGGCAACCTTCGGCACTCCTAATGTTGTGGACTACATCTCCCATAATGCCATATCAGCCATAATACTGGTAAAGCATCATGGGATTATGGCAATATCCGGAGAGCTAAATATTGCCTACTCCTGTCCTATAGGATGTATTAAGCCCTTTGCAGATGCTAACTTTTTTTCCTTATAAACCAGTTTGTATGTAGCTGTTATACTTTATGGGAGCTGTTAAAAGTAACATCATCCAGTACTTTAGAGATCAGTGTCTAGCTAGTAAATCTTTTCAACAAGATTGGAAACAAGCCCCAAGTCAGCTATTATAGCCAAATATAAAAAGTTGCATGCATTATAGGAATCAAATAAGATTAGACATCAATAATCCAGGAGGCATTATGATTATGTAATACTTTTCTGCATTATCACCATGTCTTCATATATAGACATTTACACTTGTATTGATGTAATAATTTTCTATCTGTGTTTATTTAGTTAATAAGTATTTTATATATATAGATATATCTTCTTTGGTTAAAGGCTTGCCACATTATTATACGTCTACATTAATGAAAAGTGTAATACACAATCTGACTTACGGTTTCTTCAGGTTTATTCTTAGTTACTGATACATAATAAAATAACAAAGGATTTTACATGATCAAGGATCTTCAACAGCAGATGGTAATTGCTGGACTCCTGAAGGGAGAGTTACATCGTTACATAACTGTACTGGTAGAAGAGCCAAGAGAGACAGAGACCTCGTGTCCCTTTGTTTAGTTACTATATAGATGTGCCCATACTGACGTCAGAGTATAACTCTAGCCATATAAGGACAAGACCCCAATCCACGCTCCAGAGTTCTCATACAAAAAAACCTTGAGACTTATTGATACCATCTGTTACTTATGTCATTCCAGACATCCATAAATAATCAATAGAAACATAGAATATGCAATATTCTACAATTGACATATAGGCAAAAAAAGAGTTGCATGCTAACAATAAGATATGCATAGACATAGGTAATTTTTTTATAAGAAAAAAAAAGCTGTCGCTGATTATAATTTAAAAATTTATTTTAGGCTTTTTCAATACTTCAAGACATATAATTGCCAAACAAATTTGGTAGAAAAGTATTTCATATTTGTGGTAATTCAAACAATCTTTAAAATTTATGCTAATGCTCACGTGTATTGGACATTTTGCATGGATATAAAGCTGAGCTACAGAAAAAAAGTGTTTCAAATGGCAATAGTGCCTGTATTTGTCAAAACTTCGAACACTTTAACCTAATTTCTTTCTTTGAAATAATTATTACTTACTGGCCTGTGTTTAAGAATATTAAAGTAGACAACATATTCTTGGAATTTTAGCCTTTTGACAGTTGTCTCCATCTTTCATGTTTTTAGAATTCAGTGTTCTGAATTTTCTGCTCTATTTAATTGTTCAGTTATTAGCTCTAACAATAAAATAAAATGGTTTTGCTAACCCCTTGAAAATATTAGTTATAGTTCACATCCATTTCACACATAGAATGTTTGTAGAATATTTGATTTTGTTTCCAAAAAAATGTGCAAAAGATTTTCTATGTATATGTTATTCTAGAAGTTTAAAGGAATGCTCCAAGTACCTTAACCACTACAGCCCTCTGGCACCATTCCAAGGTAAATAATTAAACTATTTCACAAATATCCTGGATCCTCCCTTTCTGCATGGGACGATGGATGTCTCTATAGCGCTATGCTTGGACCTCGCTCATTGACACAGTCTCCATTGAGTGTGGGCCTGCATGTGCTGTGCTTGGCTCTATAGATTCTCCTTCTAGGCTTTTCAGACTCTATCCTGTTTCATCGCTTGTGCTTCCTTGCTGCCTGCCCTGACGTTCACATCTCTTGACTTAGCTCTTTGCTATGCACATCTGGAATTGACTTTGCAGACTTTGTGCTTCTGTTTTGATTTAATAATACCTCCCCCATGCCATTGCAGGCCTGCAAAACACCTGTCCCCATTCCCTGGCCACGTAGAAGGTACTGCTTGCACAAGTCTATTGTCTATCTGCTGTCTGGTTCTTTCCAGACCATCCAAATTCATGACAACTTGATATTATTAAAAATAGTATTCTCTCATTTATTAAACTGGTTTTAACACTTAATTGTAAAGTTGCTAATCTGAAATATGTATAGGTATAAATGTGCATCTGTGTGTAACTTTCCATGTAAGCGACTCTTTGTCTTCCCATGCATGTGAGTGTGTATTTTTGAATGCATACATGTGCTTGTGTGAATGTGTCCTTATATTAAGTATGCATTATTCTGTGTGTGCATATCTAGTGTGGAGCTAATTACATTGGTGTACAGCGTATACATGTTTGACTAACGTGTATATATATATGGGTTTCCAATTGTGTGTGATTTTTTTTGGAATTGCTGCCAGTTATGTTATTGTGTAGCTAATTAAAAGTATTTAATTGTGTTTCTATTGATAGTTTTGTGAGCCTATTGGTAATAATGTGAGTGGCTTGTGTGTCTAAGCAAGGGTCTGGTTATTTAGATTTAGTAAATATTTAATTTTGTGTGCATGTGTTTGTGGTTTATAAGATGTGTATAAGTGGGGGCGGGGCCTGACTGACATGCTGACCAGTCGCAGGCTTGAGAGGCTCCAGCAAAACTTGTTCTCCTTGGGAGCAATATCGAAGTTTATTACCTGCATTGGAGCCCAGGAGATATCCCATATGTCCGGGTAGCTGCTGGCGTCACTGCGATCTGAAGTTTCGGAGCCTGTGGGGGCGATACGAGGCTTTGGGGCCTGTGGCCTGTGTGGGTGAAGAGCGGGGCGGATGGCCGCGTCCTGTTTGTGAGCCCGGCTGCTGTGTGGCGACCTTGAGACATGGCTCGCAGGTCCCGCTTCCCCCCCCTTGGGCCGGGGGGGTTATCCACTGCATGGTGCACTATGTGCCTGAGCAAAATGGCGGCAATGCAACCAATGCTGACAACTTCGCCTGCCTGCAGACACCTCCGCCTGTGCCCTGAATCAACCTACTGTACCTGACTCACACACGACGAATCCCCGCAGAAGCTCCTGCCCACAAACTCACTGATCGGAATTGGCACCCACGGCTGCCTTCCTGTGCACGGAGCCCTCAGAGGTAAACCCTCACACCACAGCCCTACACCTGAACATTTCACCTCCCCCAGGACTCCTGTTGTTGGCCATAAATCGCCGAAACCAAGGGCGTAAGTGCCGGGCCTGCGGCGGGGTACCATGAAGCTCTATACTACTGGTGGGAGACAGGAGCTGACCACAATCAGAAGACACAGCAGCTCAGTCTGTAAGTGTACCCCTGGAGGCCTCAGGCAATGGCCAGACAGCATGCCCCGGCAACCTACTACACCCACTGGACGCAACTGAGCTCTGATAGTTTTATTTTGATTTTGGCCTGTTGCTTTATGTTCTGTTATTTTATTGCCCTTCAAATGTTCATGCTAGTTCAGGTGGGGTGAATACTGCAGTGACAAGCAGGGAGCCAGGCTTACTTGTTTTATCATATCAGATGTAACCAGCATTATTGATGATAACCCAGGCTCAATGTACCCCTATATGTCTCTCAGTGTTGTGTTCATTTGATTAGCTTAAAATCAAATGGCCTCGGGGCATGTTACTGGGTCACCGTCCCCAAGCGTAGAGCTCATCTTGTCTCGCATTACCCTCTAACGCAACACTGCCTGGCACGGCCACCAGCGGCATGGGATGGAAGACATGAGCAGAAATCTTAATTAGTTAACATCCTTATTTAGCATCTAGCTTCCAGCGTTGCAATGCCACCTTCGACCAAAGATAGCCTGAAAGTGCATCCCCCCCCACAAAAATTTACAATTGCTATAGAGTCTAGATAGATTTGAATACCCTAAGAACCTATGTTATGATCTAACTCTATAATAGTGATACCAAGCATGTACCTACTCTTGTCGTTGTAACTTTAAAAAATTGTGCATATTTTCTCACTGCCTTACTGCTTACAAGCTGTGTATCTTGTCTCCTTTGTCACAAGCTATTGGGGCGTGACAAATTGTATGTAATTAACTGCACTTCAAAAATAAAGAATTAAAAAAAAAAAAGATGTGTATAAGTGGCTAATTATGTATGCATGTGTGGCTAATTTGCTGTATGTGGGCAACTAGTAGGTGTGTGGACAGCGTGACTTCAGAAGGTGGACTTTGCTTGGTGGAGAAGCACCATTTTATTCTTGAATCCAGGAAACAGAATGCCTTGAACAAGCTTTTAGTATGAGAAATTATGTTTATGTACCACCATATTGTTCCTTTTTAATGCTCTGGATCAAAAAAAATCCAAGACATTTGGCAATTAAAGAACCTACATAGACTAGACTTTGATTATATATTAACATTGTTAAAATCATTTATTATTTATGTTTACTACATATGTTAATATATTGTATCAACAGCCAAGAACCCTAGCCTTGCTGTACCATATTTATGTAAATGACAAAAGGTCATTTTTAACATGGATTGAACAGGTCAGGTGTGCTCAGTTTTAGTATTTAAAGGAACACTATAGTGTCAGGAATACAAACATGTATTCCTGACACTATAGCCCTGATGTGACTGTTTAGGTGACCAGCCCCCTTAATCTCAGTAAAAAGGTGATTTTACTCACCTTTTCTCCCTTGCTGTGCTAGTCTTGCCATAGCTGGCTCTGCCTGGCACCTTCACCATTGCAGAGATCATCAATCTTGAGTACCACATTCAATCCCATGAGAAAGCATTGGGAGGTTATTGTGCAAGCACAGCAAAGTGCCACTCGGCACCAATAAGCATCTCTCCATAGAGATGCATTGAATGAATGCATCTCTATGAGGAACCAGGCAGAGGGTGGCGACGCTAAATGCCAGTGTAACGGCACCCTCAGCATAAAAGGGTTAAACCGCCGTTTAGGAGATCTTCCCCTTCCAGAGATACAGGCACAGCTACTGCAGAACACCAATCCGCCGAACAGGAAACCATATGAATGCCGTAAGCAGCCGAATAGGAAAAAACATCCGAATAGGTTTATACTCCTAGCAGTCGAACTGGAACAGCATACAATAAATCCCCCCAAGAACGAGACAAAGCTCTGTGTTGAGGGTCAAGCAGTGAACAGTCAGAGCTGTGGGTTTATTGTGCTTATGTACACATTCTTACACATTAGTACCACCCACAGGGTTTTGGAACACAACCAATAAACACATACAATACACTCAGACACTCCCACACAAAATCCTCCCCTCTGCCTGTAATACAATTACCTTACACAATGGGTAATGTAATTATAACAAGCAGAGAAATACAATTTTTCCACATTATTCATAACTTGAAAAGTTATCACATTCGCATAATCAGAATCAGCATACTCCAAATACAAACATATGTCAAATTCATACAAATTGGTCCAATAGTTCAAAAGATAGACCGTAGTCCTTTGTGACCAAAGGAAGCATGGCTTTTCTGCCCAAAACCAGTTCCACAGAGTCTTCTGTCCTGGAGATAATTGGGAAGTAATACAATTATCTCCAAAGGACAGAGGCAAAACTCCATTGAACACATGGCAGCAAAAGATAATAAAACACATAAAAACATATAACTGTGCAGCCCATTGTACAAAACAGGTACATTCAACATATCCCCAGATAGCTCAGATCTGAGCGCACATTATTACTGAATGGCGCTCAGAGCACACACATACAGTTCAATTGCCATGGAGCCAAAGTCTTTCCCATAGTCTTTCATTATACGAATGGGCTCCATGGCATAGCTATCTGGGGTATCACCGCTCAAACAAGGCAAGCACCAAATGACCCGGCTTTCATGTCTTTGCAGGGGAAAATCAAGCCTTTTCACATGGGGCCATAAACCAAAGGCAACAGGCGAGAAACCAGGCTTCTCCAATGCAATGTGGCGAGATTGGTCTCGTCACAGCCAGTGTTGCACACTGTGAAGCAGTGCACTAGAAAGTAATTCTAGTGACCATCTGAGTGACTGCTACTAGAGGTGTAACTAGGCAGCAATACAAACACTGCCTATTTTCTGAAAAGTGACAGTGCTCAACAGCCAGGGGTTATAGACACCAAAACAATTACATTAAGTGGTTGTGGTTACAGTGATTATAGTGTCCCTCTAACACAAGCAACAAATACATTTTATAATAATGCAAACAATTAAGAGTTTTTAATACAAAGCAAATTATGGTAAAATTGGAATGCAATGGATATAGACTCTTAGCCAAGATGCTGAATAATATATTTCGAATAGTTCATACTTCTGTATTCACAGAACTGTCTGGATAGATTTCTGCATTCACTAAATATTGATCCTGGTTAGGTGGATAGAGAGCAATTTTAGTTTATATCACTATTTAAGCATGAAAGGTTGATTACATTCTTTATACTTTAAGTCAGTCTTTAAAAGGAAATTATAGAAATTAATTATTACACTGCCAAATAACTATCTATTTGCATCATACGTTACTCTAGCTTTAAGAATATTACTGTTTGTAATATATTCCTTTTACATTACACTCATGTCTTTTTACTTATCTCTTATGTGCCCACTGAGAATTTAAAATATACTGTTTTTATAGAATTCAGCTGCATGAACTGCAATTTCAGAACCTTTAGATATTAGAGACAAGAAATTGATATTACAATGAAATATGACAAGTAGAACTTTGTTTTCTCTTTATACCCAATATCCATAAACATTAAATATATAGTGCATTTACAGATCAAAAAGGAGCCCATTAGCAAAATGTATTCCTAGGGATTCCGTAATAATAAATTCCCTATTTAGCAGCTGTACATATTGTCCATAAGGTTGTTAAGCAGTCTTTTAGCCACTACACTTCTGTGCCTCAATTAGATCCCATTAGACCACAATTTATCCTTTCATGGCCCTTACAGATAGGTTAGCCTTTTTAATTGAGCTCCTCAATAATATTATGGGGTATTTTCATAAAAAGTCAAGAAGTGATTTTGAAACTAATATTAGCTGTAATGGCAGACTATATAGTCTAGTTTATGCAAAGTACAAAAGAGTCTATTAGGGCATACAAGAGATAAAATACAAATATAAGTAAATAGCTGCTGTTTACCAGACAGGATACCATCTACCTATCAAATTGTCACTGGAAGACCACAATAAATAGAAATATGATCAACTGTGCTTTCAATAGCTAACACAATCATAGTCAAATAAAATATTATTATGACTTATTAAACAATATCCAGTTCCATGGATAAGTCAGTTCTGTGTATAAAGTCAACCTTAAACTCCAAAATTAAAATATAGGTTCTTAATATATAATCGATCAACAAATCTGAAAGTTGTAGGTCACATGAAAAGGTCTGCCCATAGTAGCACCAAGCACTTTGCATATGGAACTTGCTGTGTAAAAGTAAAATAATGGAATACATGGATACATTGAGAAAGTCTAATGTAAAGACGAAATATGTCTGGTTGCGAGGACCCTGGCAAAGGAGGAAGTTCTGGATTTTTAGAGGACACAGAGATATATATTATATCTTATATATAACGTCATGCTAAGTGTATTTTATTAATATATACATATATTAATATAACAATACACTCAGAGTAAAATTACACACGTGTTTATATAATAACTATATATATTGTATATATTATAAATAATAAAATTATATATGTAAGTTTATTCTAACTGTATCTTGATATTAATATATGTGTGTATGTATGTGTGTGTATATATATATATATATATATATATCTCAAAATACACTTAGCATGAAATTATATATATATATATATATATATATATATATATCTATGTATAAATAAATACAAATAATACGGAATATACATATGTCCATATACACAATTACATAAATCATTTCATAAATATACACGTAGACTTTAAATATGTGTATATATATATATATATATATATATATATATATATATATATATTAAAATTATATGTTACATAATTAAGTAATTTTATTGATTGCAATTTGGGGGACCTGCCTGACAACCCAGGCAGAGTCCAGAGAATTTAATTTGCTAGCACTGTAATTAACCCTGTAACTTTCCAAGACACTCTAAAACCTGTATATGGCAGGTTCTGTTTTAATCGTGAGACTTCGCTGAACACAAATATTAGTGTTTCAGATACCTTGGGTTGTCGTCTTTTGCAAATGGTATTCCATCATGGGGGTAATTCTCATTTCTGGGCTACCATACGCTCTCAAAAGCAACATAACCAATCTGGCAAATTTCAATGTGACAAAAACGCAAAATCGAGCCTTATAGTTGACCGTGTAACTTTCAAAAACACTATAAAACCTGTACATGGGGGGTACTGGTATACTCGAAGACTTTGCTGAACACAAATATTAGTGTTTCAAAACAGTAAAACATATCATGATATTGTCAATGAAAGTGATATTTTTTGCATTTTTCACACACAAACTGCATT